ACAATTAATTGTTGTCATAATAAAAACTTTAAGCAAAGACACCACATTTATTAACTTTTAAGCGGTAGCTAGCTAGTTTAAATGTTAATAAATGCAGGTACTAAGTTTATTATGGTTAACAATTAAAAATAAAATAACCGTATCCAAAAACCAAAACAAATTCTTACTTCGTTGCATTAGACATTTTATCACAAGTCTGACGATTAAAGGGCGTAACTAACGACTGCGATAACGCGATAACTAATCTCACTGTATGCCTGCTCCTTGAGAGCACACCCGTCTACTTACATCCGTGGCAATACCATTTTTGAATTCAAATAAAAATCTAGTGTCAATATTCATAATTTACTCTAGTGACGTTCCAAAAGTTCTAATGTTACAGATACAATTTTCATTTGCACAGTTATTGGTGAAGTGATGCAATCCGATATATCCGATTGTATATGCAAATCACGTTCGTAAACGAGAATATTTCTTTTTTATAAAGTGATGTGCCTCCCGAAGAAGGTTATACGACCACTTACCACTTTTAAATAACGATTCTGAATGAAAACTCATTCGTATGCATTGACCGCATAAGTTATTGGCAATAAAAAAAAGGCGGTAGCTTCGACACCATCAGTTTTTCTATGGCGACCGGTTCGTTGCGTAAACGGAAAATAACCGGGAACGTGTTAATTTGTAATAAGTGGTCCAATTTCTAATGAAAGCCAGTGATTCAGAACCGATGCCTCTACGTCAGGTGTTACTGTTCAGTGCTGAAGTGGTGTGCAGTATGAGTGTGCCTAATTTGAGCGTCGATCATATAACAGGTAAGCGACTGATTATAACGTGAAGCAAAAACATTGAAACCCTTTTAAAGAAAATTGTGCAAAATGTGAAAAATTTTGAAATTTATTTTAGCTATGTATTAAAAAAAAAATGAATGAATAAATGAGTTTATTCCAAGTTACCATACACAACAATGTTGATTACATGAAGAAACATATTTTTTAATTAAGAATATGTGCGACCACTATCAATATTTTATCAGTAAATTGTAAAATCCGTTTAACCGTTAAATTATTAGGAAAGGAATGACATGACTTTATTATATAAATAACAAAACACATTTTGAAGTGTTGTTTCTGATAAACTGAATGTTGTAATTATGGTCCGTGGTGAAAATTTTATTGTTAGTAACATATTAACTTGGGTTTTGCTATAATATAATAGCTACTGGCACCGCTGCTCATAATTTAACGATTTAATTTTTCTTTTCATAAATAAGATATACGAAGTCTCTTGTTAATTAACGGTTATTCTTATGACTAATTGATACAAGTCACGACCTCGGCGATAAAACATGAGTTTTACATAATTTAGTAAATTAATTGCCTATTTATTTGATGTGTCAAAAGCAGCTTTTTCGTGACTTTCACTTTATTATTAATAACTTCTAATGTCCAAAGCTAGTAGACGTTCTCAGATAAAAATTAGATAGGTTTTATCGTTAATTAATTGTTAAGAATCGCAAATATTTTGCCATTAACGGTTGTGTCACTGTAATATTGAAATGTTAATTTTATAATTAAGTGTAGTCAGTAGTCAACAGCATTTCAAATGACAACAAAAGGTCAAATTTTTCTAACCAAATTTAAGTCTAAATCAGTTTATAATCTGTTGATGATAAACTTTATAAAATTTAATACAGTTTGTCGTTGTGAGTTTACAAAATATTTATTGAAGAACGAAATTTCATATATCTTTTTTGGGTGTATTTTTGTAAATTATGTCAGGAGGTGATTTTTATATTTAATTTTTCTATATGGCCTCAGATCTCGATTTTTTTATGAAACCTTCGTTGTTTCGGATTTCCCTTAAGTTAAGATTTGGTTTGATATTTAAGCAATAAGATGATGTTGTCTAACATCTATTTATAACTGTTGTTTATTTTAAATTGTTACGGACGAAATCGATACGGCGAGGCACATGGCTGATAATGTAACTACTCACTTGGGTGATTCTAAATACATCCGTTCTAAATACATTACTTATATCTCAAAGATAAAATATATAACAATAACAGCAGTAACAGTAAAATTGTAAGTTTATTACGATTTATAAAATCTCAATTGGAAACTTTTTTGAATTTTTATCTTTTATTCTTTCAGTATGAAAACCGTTTGTAAAATCCATTTGTTTACGTTGCGAGTCCGATGTTGGGTCACGTATATTACGTCAAGCAATTTAAGGGGGAGGCGGTGTCAAATATAATTAATTGCTACTTATTTTACTTAATAAAATATAGTGGGAGATCGACCAATCTTTATATTTTCTTACGAAGGAGAGAAAAAAGAAACTGGCAGAAACTATCTTACATCAGTAATATACCTTAACTCGATAAGTCTAATAGTTTCGTATTTTTCTCTCGAGTTACAGAACCCTAAAAATGTTTTTTTCTCTTCCTACAAAGTACTACTTTTGTTTCAACAAAACAAAATTATAATAAATTCAACAGCATATGTATATTCAAATGTCGTCCGCGCCAAGACACGGCCGCTAATTGTAAGTGACAAGTATCATTTGCTCGAACGGTTTATATTCGCACGTTCTGATTTGGCTGTCACTTGAGTGTCATTCATCTTTCATTGAACACCGGTTTTGTTATGTGAAAGGAAGAAGCATCATCGTTTCATCATCAACAACAAACAGTTTGGTGATGAAAATACATTTTTCACTGTTCCAACACTGAAAGTATCAAGAATTTATGTTGTAGAAAAAACCTTTAAAAAATGTTAACGTCTTTTGTGATCAAAACCGCGACTTATTTAACTATATCTATCTAACCGTGCGAAAGCGCTTTACAAAATTATATTAAAAACGAAGAAAACATTAATAAATTTATGTTATTAAAAAAATATTAATTTGGAAATTGTTTTTATTCACTGGACGATTTTGAAGAGGTATTATTTAAGCATTAGAAGAATTATAATTATTTAGCATTAAGAAATTGCTGTACCCTTGCAGGGTCATGTGTGTGTCCAATTATATAATATAATATCTATGTAACAACATGGTGCAATAACGGACTTGACTTTGACTTTTTGAAAAAACTCGACGTCGAATTTGATTTAAGAAGCACTGCAGATATGTGGTAGGAGCCATGGCACGGTTAGGTATAGCATATGAATAGTGGTTTTCACCAATAGAGGATGTTCATTTGTGAAGCATAACTTCGTATGAACTATATATATATATTAAATTGCACCAAAATAATTTTATTATTTCCACCAATTGTACACGCTATCTAATTCATAACAAGTACTTAGTTAATATCAGTAATCATAAGTGCTTTTTAAAAGACTACACTTTATATTGAATGCCATTACTGTATTCGTTTACCGATACAAACAATAAACAAACGAAATTCGTCGATTTGTCTTGTAATCTAAACGTGGAGACATCGTCGCATAATAAATTATGTCCGACAAAAAGGTTTCTATCTGCATTTATTTATAACGGACGCATTAATAGGTAACACTGGCCAAGTGGCCGATAAACTGTCCATTAAACATGTTTCGATTTCAACTGGTAACTTAATGATGCTTCATACTCGATGTATGAGAAGAGCAATTGTAAGATATGTACTAAAATGTGTGTAATATATACTTAATCAAATAATAGTTTAAGATAAAGTCAGTCACAGGCGAATGAGGTCAAATTCTGAGGAGGTTAATTTATTTTGCACGGTTTAAAATAACTTGCTATAGGATCGTAAATTTGATGTATGCACTTAAGGTCCATGCAAATACACCGTATTGAATGCCTATCCAAATTAGTTTAGTTGATTACGTTGAAAAGCCGTATCAGGGGGTCAATCTTATATCACAAGAAATCATTCCTTAACTATTCCTTCGTTTCTAAACCGAAATTGGTCTATTGATTATATAAACATTTCAAAGGAAAAAATAAATAAAGAGGATATTCTGAAATTTATCCGTTTCTTATAATATAATTATGTATGATCTCGCTTGTTATAGAAGGAAATAAGATAAATTAAAATCCGTCCTTAAAAAAAGATAAAAGATCTCTACCAAAATAATAGCTTATTCACCCACATTGTTATTTAACCAGATTTTATGTTGATTTACTCGTAATAATTATATATTCTTGTCCATAATTCTGAATAAAACTTTTTATTTATTCATGGACCAAAAAAGATAGACGACGTGCGTGAAATTTTCGAACAATTTTGAATATCTTTTATGCTTATTGGAGAATACAGCCCCAGTTTTCTTTACCATTATTTAGACATTAGTCGATGTCAGTCCCACAATACCACCGATTGGATTCCTATCCCTTGACCAATATATCTAGACCTTAAGACCATTAGCAACTTCAACGGGTTCCATCGGTGTAATGGATCAATAACGCTGGTCATAGACACATGAATATTTATCACGTGAAAGTTCTTCAATCTCATTGTCTATGTTTTCTCTAAAGCTTTTTCTTTAATCAATATTTTATTTGTCAACTTTTTATTTTATCAAAGGGCTTTGAATTACATTAAAGTTACAAAAAATATCTTCACATTCACCAAGAACGTAATACAATATAAGCCTTATTAATGAATATCACTAAAAGAAGGGCAAATCTTATTGTGTCGTAACCCACGCCGGCCCAGTGCGGTTTTACGCGTGTTAATAGATCATTTACACTGGGCTTTGGGGTCAGCACGCGGACTCAGCACGACTTCTGCGCGCATCCCATTGGTCAATTAAACAATAACCGACCAATTACAGTAAGCAACAGAAATCGCCAGAACGCCGCGCGCAGATCTCATAGACCAGTATAAATACGCTATAACACTTGTATCAAAGACTTTACGTACCTTTGATCAACGTTCATATTTTTTTCAGTATTTCCCTACAGAAAAAAATAATTTTCGTTGATATTTTCAGTCATTCACCTCTTGATTGAGCTTTCAAAAAGTTTAACCTCGTTTTCTTTTGTTACAGAGATCGAAGCGGCGGAGGCATGCAAATGGTTAAGAGCCGCCGGCTTCCCTCAATATGCGCAGATGTACGAGGGTAAGTTTGTACACATTGTCACAGGCCTTCCCTGGAGATAGAATTCTATAGATAAACCCCATCAACCCACACGGGCCCAGAGCAGATAGGTGTGTATTAATGACAGATGCAACCAAGATAATATTTTTCTGTGTACTCTTCTCAATTTTAATACAATGACCCAGTGAACCTAAAGGCCCAGATACTATTCAAGTGCCTGAATAGAGTTGAGAATGAGCTTTATTAGTGCTACAGTCGGAGGCGGCGTCCCGGCATGTCACGGCATGTCCCGAGCTGTCCTAAGCCGCCATTAATCATGTCCACCACCGGATGAAAGTTGTCCTGTATTCAGAAAATGTTTTAGTCATCAACTGTTATGTTTAATGAATATAATATTATAAAGCATTTGCCCGTGACTTTGTTTGCGTGAAATCAGTATTTTGAGGAACCTATTTTTTTCTATGAAGCAGCACCATTCTATTCTTTTTAATGACTATAAAAAAACTAATCGTAGTTTCAGTCTAATACATTCTTCGTACCAATTTCATATATATTTATAAAAACCAAATATTATACCCAGTTTTAGATATGGTATCTACGTCATTATTTATTTATTCAATTCATTGCATACATGTGAATTAGCATTTATTAAAAGAATATTTCTTAGCATTTTCATAAATCGAGTATATTTTATCTATAACCTATGTTTTAGAAAAAAAATGTGGTCTTTGAGCAACGTCGGAGATAATCGTTAGTGTCGTATAAAAGTGTAATTGAATAAACGAAGGACCATTGAATACGTAGTAACGAAGTCCAAAGAGACGATCCTACGATGGTCACTAGTTAAGGCACCATTATATGGATATGGCTTACATGAAAATTAGCTAATCCGATAAATGTTGATCCAATCATAAATAATAAGTCATATCAAAATATATTAAAGGAAACGTTTTAATTTCTTTGTAATAATTACAAAAAGCCTAATTTTTCCTATACAGGTAATCAATATATTAAAAGTTGTAGTGATCTAACCACTTATCAATGATAAAAAATTATAACTTGATTATTACTACAAATTTTAAAATATATATGAATATAGTAGTAATAACGTTATATTAAAAAAAAAACTTGATTATTACTACTAATTTAAAAAAATACATAAGTATAGTAGTAAATAAGTTATATTAAAAAAAATTTTTTTTGTCTAATCACGGAAATAATGTTTATATCTGATTCATTTCAAATAATAACCCTTTCCTCTCAATATAACGGCTGTGCCAATAGCTGCACATATTAATACGCCCTATTATTTTAATAAAAAAATGTCGAATTCAGCGCTGTGCCAGCTTTGTGGTTTAATACAAAAATTGACTTTAAAAGACATTAAAAAAATATTTTGTTTAATTTCTAATGCTGCACAGTGTGTATTCGAAGCTGCATTTTAACAAAATAGTAAAGCTAATCAGCATAGAATAAAAAAATAGCATTTAAAACAATTTTAAAATAACCAATAAGCCACAGAAACCTCGGCATTACAACATGAGACATTACAACTTTGACTAATAATATTTGTTATCCAATAAGATCAACAGTCTTACTAGACAACAACTTTTATTCGTCAAAGTTGTATCCACATTATTCTTTCGTTGGTTTCTCATCCGTTGACAATGTAAACTAAATTATCCTTTAGTCGCACACGAATAAGTCCAGGACCGCCCCTTATTTGACACTTTCTGTACACAGTGACGCCTCGAATGGTTTTAAATTTTAACCTTTTTGTATAAGGATAGTTTTTATAAACTAGTTACATAGCATAACTTGTAGTCGTTTGGGTCATATATTATACCAATTTTAGCTTTATTTTTATTTGAGAATTACATGTTTCTAAATATGCTTAGCTATAAAATGAGCTTAATAATACTAAAATCTTTATTATAATAGATTTTTAATTATCGTTTTTTTAAGAGAATGTAAATATTATGAAACAAAGCTGAACATGATATTAAACTAAAATGATATAGTGTAATTTATAAAAGCTATAAGCACATATGGACATAAGTGGTTTCTGCTCACTTCGGAAAGATTAAGAAAAGGTACAAGATAAAATCAAGAACCATTACTGGACTATAAAAAGAGACTGCGGCAAATTTTGAATTAAGGCTAGATAATGATACCTTTAACATTTGTCTCGAAAAGTAAACAATCTTCTAAGTTTGTTTTAAAATTGCTATTGCAGTTTACTAGATAAATTTTATAAAACGACCAGCTTTCCGCCAGCTGTTTACACTATGACTTTACAGTACGTTTATCCCCAGGAATTCGTCTAATCGACTAAAAAGTAGTTTAAGTTGATTCAGACTTAGAGTTATCCGGACACCAAATTTCATCAAAATTTGCCGAGTAGTTTTTGCGTGAAAAGGATCATCACAAAATTGTCTCTTTAGTATTAAGATAAGATCAAAATTTTATTAGTCGAGAAAAACTACTAACGAGTAACTGTTGTTGGGTTATCGGTTATAAAAGCATATTATGAATCAATATAAAACAACAGAAACTTGAGTCCATAATAAAAAAAGTTATTAAATTTAGTATGTATAATATTATGATTATTTTCCAGAATTATACAATATTAAAAGTAAATCCCTATATTGAGAAAATTGGATTTTGATTTTTTATATTCAGATGTATCAGTTGAGGCAATATCTTCAACAATAATCATCATCATCATCATCATCAAATACACACAAAATCCAATAAATTTACTACTCCAAATAGTTATGAATTGCACTATATATATACTGGTGATCTTCCCTTCGGTATTATTTGAGTGCCTCTCATTCAGACAGACAGATGTATTGAGGACTTTGTTATTAACAATTTGTAAGAAACATGATTCATAAAATTTTACGATGGTGATCGATTGCTACTATATCATTATAATCTTTTTTTAACGAGATAAGTTATTGTGGGAAGTGCAATTGCTTTTCTTGTTACTACAAAATTATTCATAGTATTCAGAATTCCGTCAATGGTTTCGTTATCGATACATAATTGTGATAAGATTCACAATCGGCACTCTTTGTTTTGTCGACAGTGCAAAATTTGCCGTTGGGGATATCGCGTGTGTCATGTTGGTTTGTGCTTTAACGTGGTATTTTGAACTGATGAATAACTAAATATATCATTTTAGTGATCAGCGGTAAGTATGTAAATTTTTTCTAGTTTTCTGAAATAGATTAAAAAAGCAAATATAACTATATTATATTTATTTAGTTACGTTAAATTTCAAACTCTTTTGATTCAAGTTGTTTATACCTTTTGTCCATATAGTTAAACTGTGTTTAAACTACCACCTATTTAGGGTTTTATCATCCATATCAAGAGACAGATATTGAATGGTAACTAATGTAACTCTATGGCACAATAGTTTATATCCCTATATCAAAATGCAGAGATCTACACATACGACCCAGAATAATTTATATCGACCTCCTTCATACTTCGTCATATTTACATGTTAAGCCGTAAACACATTAATGTTCTTCAAAACATAATGACTATCAATCCATGTGGAAAGCCCTTGCCCAAAATGTGAGTCTAGAATTGATAAATCACTAATGAATTTTACATTACACAACAAAACATTTGCTAATGAAATATCAAAAAGATTCTTAACAAAAGTAGGTGAAATTACTCATTTGACTGGTGTTTACATCTACGAGTATTGCTCGATAATGTATACAACCTCATTTTTACAATTTACGTTTGTTACATGACCCAAATAACTCCATTGCTAATTCACGTGAACTAACTCATAGAACTCTACGTGACTCAAGACAGGTTGGACTTTTATTGTTCTGTTAAGAAATTCTAGTGAAAATAACATTGTTCTTTTCCGTTACATTGTCTTTCATAGTTGCAAAGCAATTGGTCAGATAATATCTTGAATATATAATGTGTTAATGTTGTTAATTTTGCTCATACTTTAATATACAAAAGTATTGTAATCAAATATTTCCTATTTTAAGTGAAATTGTTTTTATGTGAAGTCACCTTTCAAATGGATATACAATCAAATACAAGTACATTTTTTATCTTTAACCTTTTCTCAACAAGAGTGAATTGAAACAAATATTGCATGCATATCACAGTAAAACTTTATGATTTTGCAAATAACATGAAACAATTCATCAATTCTCAGACATATAATCGACATTCTAAACATTTGTGAGGTCCATTAGACTATAAGGATTGTGAAACAGCAATAAACGGTATTATAGGAATAGATGATAAAGATTTAAAAAGTTATCTCAACATACTGGAAGATAAAAAGGCAATTATAGTCTAAGCCAATTACGTTTACATAACTCGACATAATACCCGCTTCGCAGTCATCTATCCGTAAACGGCGCCAAATATGAATAGTGACAAAAAACTACACAAAAAAGAGCTGCTCTATTCTGCTTAAATGACATAATTTACAATAATGTTACTCAAGAGCTCCAAAATATATTTTTAGTGAAAGTGTGCACTACACCCACAATCGATACCTTAAACTACTCGAATAACAATAAACTATCATTTACGTCACCGACGCAAACAAAACATCACCGATTAGCATTATCTTCAAACATTTCTACAGAATGACTAAATTCCAGCGTCGTGTGTTAACGCGCTACGCGATTATCATCTTTAACAACCCAAATCAAGGTTGTGATTTGCCTCACCGCTGTTTTGCAGTACCAAAAAATAAATGGACAAGCGATTTTGACAGTTAAAATGACATTTTTAACGAAATTTAACTTAACGCTCCCAAATTTAAGGTCTCGATTAGTATATACTTGGCTTTCTTAAGGGCAACAGGGGGTTGTGTTGCATTTGACAAAAGGCACGTAGCTGTCAAAATAGTTTTTTGTGTGGTCCCATATTAATTCAGGTAGATAGTCCAGTTGAACCCAATGTGTCGGCGTGATCAGTCCAATTTTGTGGTTTGTCAGTGATTTGTGGTTGGACATTACTTT